AGACAGGCTGGAATTACTAAATTTTCCTCTCCAGATCTTAGCGCTGTTTCTCTGGTTACAGTAAATACATGCCATTTTTATTATCTTAAAAATAATGATAAAATTAACTTGAAAAAGAATGAAATTTTTCATGATAAGATTTCAAAGACAAGATGATATAGGAATAGTGACAGGTATAGCAACAGGGCTCTGTGAATAAAGGCACATGCCACCAAGCCCGAGGTCCTGAGTTGGATCCCCAGAACCCAGAGGGTGGAAGGAGAAAACTGACTCCCAAAGCTGTCAGACCTCCACACATGCACCGAGGTATGCGTCTCCCTCCACGTACAAATAATAAACAAACATGGTGAAGAATGGCGGGGATCGTTCTGCATTTGTACCCGAAGATACAAGCATGTCAGATATGCCATAATGTCACGGGAGGGGCAACACGGCTGACCTTGCCCTGAGTGAATGAGAAGATAAATACCTCTGCAGGCAGCAATCTGTGCCAACTCCACTGACTTGATGGCCTTGAGAACAGGAAATCTTAGAGCAAATTCTCTCAAGTCCCTTTAGGTGCCTCTTGGTCTTCCAAGTCAGAGCCCACAGCACCACAGCACTGAATGGATTAGCCACTTTGTGCAGAGATGTATCCGTGTGGGGTAGAAAATTTATGAATAATATAAACATTGAAGTGGGAATTCCATGGACATTAATCTCACTCCAACCTCTCTTTTTAAGATCTCATTAACAATTCTCATACCTCTACGGAAGATAATGTTTGTGTTTAATTATTTTCTTTAGGTACTGGAGAGATAGCTCAGTGGTTTAGAGCAATTGCTGCTCCTGCAGGAGGACCTGGGTTTGGATCTCAGCACCCACTGGTGGTTATCAACCATGGGCACTGGGCAGGCCATAGTACACATACTCATGTGCAGGCAAAACACTCATCCACAAGAATAAAATTAAAATGTCTCTTTAAAGATGTTCCCATGAAAATACAGAACAACTTATTCAAAATGAATGAAATTCTAATGGAAATTGGCCCTAGGGCTGGGAGAATGGCTCAGAAAGCATGGAAAGCTGACCCATCCAGCAGGCCAGGTTATTAGGTAAGACCCAAGGCGGCACCTCCTAAAAAACCAATGGGGGCGAGAGAGAAAGGAGACCAAGCGCGTAAAGAAAACAGAGTCAGTCTGAGTTGCATCAAGGTCTCCTTTATTGCAAGGGGAAGCAGGTTTATATATGCTAGTAGATAGGAGAAATGAATGGGGGAAAATGGGGATGGAAAGTTTCTGAAGAATAGACGAATAGGGTCCAGGTGAGGTCTCTTTGAAGAAAAGTCAGGGTGAGGTCTCTTTGGTCCACTGCTTGTGCAACTGACCAACCGAACATACTCCAGCAAGTTTATCTAAAAGTATATTAATCTAAAGGTACATTTTGTAGTTTTTCCGGGAGTTATTGTTTTTGTAACTTAGTAACAGTTTTCAAGGGTGTAGTTATGTCAGATCATCCAAGTAAGAAAGGTCAGAGAGCAGTCATCCAACTTTAGGCTCCCAACAGAAAGCCAAGCTCCATCCCAGAATCCACATGAGGAAAAACTGTCTGTGATCCACTAAACCACAGCCTCCCCTGTGGAAACTGCCTAAGCTCTTGCTCTAGTGATTTCCTGCCAGCTTACATCTCAAAAGACTGCCCCACTGTTCTGCATTTCATGTGCATGTGTGTGGATGCATACACACCTGTAATCCCAGACCTAGGAAGACATACATAGTTGGATCCACAGGACTTACTGGTCAGTCAGCCTACCAGTGAGCT